AGACCCCTGAAAGTTATTTTGGAAAACGAAGCCCAAGCAGCGCTTTTGTTAGAAAGTAGAACGACCTTACGCAATTCGCACAAGGAAGTGTTTTTTCAACCAGACTACGAACCGAGGGAAAGACTGAAAATGAGAGGACTGAGGTCAGAATTGAAGGAGAGAATTGGCAGAGGAGAGAAAGGGCTGAAGATCAAAAATGGACAAATAGTCCAGACAAAGGGGTCTTTCCTGTGGTCAGAACTCGTCACAATGAAGGCCGGGCCTCTCCAACAAATCAGTCATTGAAGGTTATATCCGCAAATGTGCAAAGCCTCTTCAACAAACTAGATGAACTAGGACACTTAGTTGATGAAATTAAGCCAGACATTATGGCATTCACAGAAACGTGGCTTACTGAACATATCGCAGATTCAGAAATATCACTTAGAGGATATCAGCAATTCAGGAGAGATAGACTAAGCCGAGGAGGAGGAGGAGTCATAATTTATGTCACTTGCAAGCTAAGCGCTATGGCTGATGTACACAGACCGGTACGGGATGTGGAACTGCTAAGCGTTACCATATCTACTAAGAATGTCCGATCATTGACGCTTTCGGTGGTGTACCGTTCACCTAACCATACTTCGGACCAAGATTTCATGCTCATATCCGAACTGTACCAAGCTAGCGAGAAGAAAGACGTCCTTATCGTTGGGGATTTTAACGCTCCTGGCATTGATTGGCTAACGTGGACTGCACAAGGGCCGCAAGACAGCTTTAATCACAAACTACTACAATGGGCAACGGACAAACTTCTCTGCCAGAATGTTACCTTTGGAACACGGGTCAGGGAAGGGCAGCAGTCGAACTGCCTTGATCTTATTTTTACCCGAGAGGAGGAAAACGTGTTAGACCTGCAGGACCGACAGCCATTAGGGTCAAGCGACCACATCACGCTCTACTTCGAGTACTCACTGTTTTACAAACCCGCCCAACCCGAGAGGTGGGAGAGAAACATTTGGAAAGGTGACTATTCTCTCATGAGGAGGGAAGCGGCAGCTATATCATGGGAGACTGAACTGCATGGTCGAGCAAACGATAACTGGAATACTTTCAGTTCCTTACTGAAAGAGATTGTTTATTCCAATTGTCCTCTTAGAAGGAAGACAATCACAAACCGCCCAAAATGGATAAACCCGGACTTGAAGGCCTCTTTCAGAAAAAGGAATCGTCTGTGGAGGCGTTACAGACTAACTGGCTCCGACGAACACTTACAGGAATATAAGCGGCAACGAAACGTCTGTAAAAGTGAGGCCTCAAAGCTGCGAAAGAAGTTTGAA